ACTGTTACGCATCATGGGGCCCTGCTTTCCTGCAGATGGCTGAACACCTGCCTGCCAATGGGAAGTGGTGAATGCATTACTTGTTCTGCTTTGCTTGTGTGTGTGGCTTCTCCTCCACCTACTAAACTGTCTTTAACTGAACCCACCAGTTTTATCATTTTTACTCTTCAATTCTCTCCCCATCTCAACCAGAGGAGGGGCAGCAAGTGGATGTCTGGTGCTGAGTTGCCAGCTGGAGTTAAAACATGACACCTGTACAGAGATATTTTAGTTAAAAAAAGAAAAAAAGGAACCTATGCAACATTCTTTTTTTCTTTCCTTTTTTTTTTTTAACAAAAGCAAAACGTGTCTTAGCTTAAAAAGGATTAAGACAACTAAAGATTTCCAGTTCCACAATATATGTTACACTTAGTAGTATAATGGGAAAATGGTGATTGTGCAGCCTATCCTTATCCCCAAGGCCCTGTCTGAGCACCTTGGGATTGTGCCCGGTCCTGGTTCCCCTCACTGGGCTTCATCCTGATCCCCCATCAATGTCCCAGCCTTGCCTCTGCCCATCCCATCATTATGCCCAGGGATGTACCTGATGCCCAAGCCTAGCTGCCCAGAGCCCTCCAGCTGCCCTGCTTGTGTGAGGGACACAGGGATGGACCTTGGCCACCAGGCCCTGCCCTAGCTGGTCCCTGGGGAGCACCTGATGCAGCCAGTGGCCAGACCAAGAGGAGCAACTGGCCTCTGCTGCATCCTGAAATTCTGAAATTCTGCATCTGAGAACTAGGGACACTAATCCCTGTCTCTCACTATCAAAAATACAAAGAAAACAATTTTCCTGTCAAAGAAATTTCTTCTGCATAATTATTGTAATTAATAAAATTAACACTACAGTAACATTTTTATACTTGATGAGGAAAAACAAATAACTTTAAGAATGAGCTTAAAAAATGTTTATTATGAAACACACCTGTCTATGCCAGCAGTATGTGATGACAAGCTCCAGTATTCATTATAAAACACAGCTGAGGTATTTGTGCCTTTTCAGAAGCAAAAGATTTAATTAGTTGCCAAGCACCTGAAGAATAACACACACTGAAAAATCTTTTTTCATGCCACTAAATACTGTAATTGAAAGAACTGGCAAAATTTTAAACAGGTCAATAATACTTTCATATGAATTGTCAAAGTGTTTGTTTTGCCTGATTTTTTTAAAATAAAACTAAGTTGTTTTACAGTAATGAATACACAAATGGACAATTAATGGTGTAGATGGTAATATTTTTTAACATTATAGATTATTTATAGCTCTCATTGGCTTCAGTCTCCTGAATACAAACTCACTATCTGAAGCTAACACAGTTGTACAGTCCACATGCACCCCTTGAACACTGGGTCTGAAGCTTGGAAATTTTTCCTCATAAACTGTACACAAAATGTTCATCTCTGGCTTTTCAAATCTCCTGCTCCACACATGCCATTGTGTGAATCAAGATGATGTGACAGATTGATGACCAGGTAAATAATCAAATAATTGCTAGGATAAAGCAACAAAGTGTGGGGATAAACCTCTGTCTTTGAGCTAAATAGGTATGCTATTTGTAAACAAAGCACTGAAGTACAACAAGACTAACACACTCAAAATTGGTCCACTTACTGAATAGAGGTTGTTGCAGTATGAACATTTACTAAATAGATTCATGATGTTTGCAGGCCCTGCCTGGAAAGAAGTACAGGAAGAGTCTATAGCACATAATCTCTCATCACTCAGGAGATGATTTGCGTACTGAAGCACTGGACAAACAAACTTTGCAAGCATTCAGAGGTTCTGGAGCCAGACCAGCTAAGGCTGATCAGGCGGTACGTAAGTCATTCTTATCTGCTCAGGCCTGTGGAAAATGGAATCAGTATACAGCAAAGTGAAGCATTCCCCAAAGGGGTTTCTGACTCTGGCATTCTGTCAGGTAGAGTCTGTGTAAAATGCCTGCCAATACTCCTGAAAAATGGCTGCTAGCACAGGCAAATTTTCATCCCAGCATGACACCTTTTTTACATCATCTATCAAGAAATTGGTGAAGTGAGGTAGATGACTTATCAAGAAGTGAATCTTTTAGGTCTGTCACTCTTAGCAAAGCAAAAGCCATTTGATTGATTACATGGTATACAGTGGTGGAGCAGTATTTTGTCACATATATGTTTAACTCTCCAGGAAAGGGAATGTTGCATACACTGTAGACAGACTGAAGCTTCAGGACTTTGGGATGCAGGAATTGCTCCTCTGAAGACCACTACCTAGTAACCTATCCAAGGGAGACTTCCAAATCCTGAGAAGTAATTTGTTGTGATAGTTTTTGTTGGCAGCCTTGACACCTAAGAGGAATGATCAGCTTCTTATAAAGAAAAAAACTATTCTGTCAAGTGAACAGTCTGAATTGAGAGCTGCAGAAATTGGATGCAAGAAATGGCATCTAGATCTTCCTAGCAATGTGAAACTTACTCAACATGAACACCTTGTGAACTGACTGAAGAATGTGTACATGGACATATGAAAACCAGCAAACCAGGTGAGAAGAGAAGAGAGGAACCTCCCTTGACCCACTAATGCAGGATGCTGTTGGCTTGCTTTGTTACTAGGGCACTTCGCTGACTCATGGTCAACTAGTCCACCAGAACTAGTAAGTCTGTGCAAAGCTGCTTTCTAGCCAGTCAAATCTGCCTCCAGATGGAATTTCTGTTGCTGATCCTTTGCTCTTTTTGAGCCTGCCCTTCAGCCAGTTTACAGCTCACCTCACTGTGCACTTACCTAGCCAGTACTTAATCAGTTTGTCACCAACAATTTAATGGAAGGCAGTGTTGGAGCCTTACTAAAGTTGAGTAAATAACATCCAGTGTTGTCCTCTCATCTGTCAATGAAGTCATCTCATTGTGGAAGGCTATAGAGTTGGTTAAGCACAATTTCCCCTTCACAAATCCATTGTGACCACTCCCAACCACTTCCTTGTCCTTAATGTGTTTGGAAACAAATTTCAGGACAATTTGTTTCTTCAGCTTCCAATAGATCAAAGTGAGGCTAACCATCCTGTAGTTTGCCCTTCCTGAAAGTAGTCTTCTAGTCCTCAGGAACCTCTCCCTTGATCTTTCAGCGATTATCAGGATTGACCTTGCTATGACGTCAGATAGCTTCCTCAGCATTCATATGACTCCTATCAGATCTCAAGGACTCATGCATATCCAGTTAGTTTGAATGTTCCCTAATCTGATCCTTCTCCACCAAGTATAAATCTTCCTTGCTCCAGACATTCTCCTACATGCCTGAGAGGAAAGGGATTCCTGAAAGTCAGACTTATAAACAAAGACTGAGCCAAAAAAAGTGCTGAGTTTCTAAGTCTTTTCTGGATGCTTTGTCACCAGAATGCCTGCCCCTTTCAGCAGCAAGCTCACATTTTCCCAAGTCTTCCATTTGCTGCTGACATATTTGTAGAAGCCTTTGGTTTGTCTCTGCATGTCTCCTGCCAGCTTAATATCCAGATGGACTTTGGCTTTCCCCGTATCTGTGTATTTGGATATATTCTCTATACTCCTCCCACGTCACCCAGCCATTCTTTTACCTCTCACATGCTTCCTTTTAATGTTTAAGTTTTGTCAGGAGTATTCTGTTCATCCATGCAGGTTTCCTGCCACTTGATTCCTTACTCATTGGAATGGACCACTGAGAGCTTGGAGGAGGTGATCCTTGAAAATCAGTTGGCGGCTGTAGAAAATCATGAAAGTTGTTCTTCCATAGAGCTGCCTATCCCTGGCTTGCACATGCACATGGCTTCTGTGTCTCCTCCGAACAGGAGAGCAGTGACCCATTTCAGAACAAAAACATTTCTGAAAAGGGCTGAGGCCAGCAGTTGGAAAGCAGAAAAGCAGGAAACAAATCCAATAGTCATGAATTATTCAGGACCCAAGCTTTAAATGAAACAGTATTCCATAACGATAGATAACAGGACAGTCGTTAGATGCCAGAGATATCAAGGGATAAAAGAGGAAAACCAGACTCATTACTCCCAAGTACACACTCACTTTCACCATACTGCTAGGCAAATTGTGCTTGTTTTCATAAAGTTCCCTTGCTTTCGTCTGTACTCTAGTCAAAAAAGACTTTGAGATCAAAAACCTGTTTGGTGTTCTTTCTGTGCTTACATCAATCAAGAGAGGCAAAGATGGCACCTCAAAACTTTGATTCCAGGTGTCCTCAACCTAAGAAACACACAGTGATCCAGAGCTTCAAAAGGACTTTAGACTATATTCTGTTCAGCATTTGCCTTGAAGTACAATTTTTAAAATAGACATGGCAGCTACTTCGCAAATATTATCAGTTTTAAACAGAAACATGGTTCTCAAATGCTAACTGCCTTAGGCAGTGATCAAGTTGCTGTGCCCCAGTAGAACCATCATTCAGCTGAACTATCATCCTCTGCTTTTAACCCATGTCACTTTTGGACCCCATTTCCTCTTTTAGCATGTTGCACTTTAACTTTCAAAGGTTCTTTGACAATGATTAGTCACACATCCTGACGGTGGTCTTACCTGTTAGTGCTTTCTTAGCATGATACTGAAGGCCTATGCTGTCTACCCAGGAGTACACCATGAAGATGTGTGAGGGTACAAGGCTTAAAAATATACAGTTTTTAGACAGAAGAATAAGTCTTATGTGTTTCTGTCCAAAACGTCTATAAACAACCTGATTTAGTCACCAAGCCTTGTAGTGGAACTGATCTAGTTGATTGCAAAGTAATTCTGGCAGCAGCCCAATACGTATACTGTGTTGGCAATGTAATTACATTTTGTATCTTTTTTTCATGTGAGCAAGCAAGCTATAAAATCCCCCTGGTTAGGCATGAGGATGTCACATTTTCTATTTCTGCATTATGCAGAATATTATAGTAATTTTTCACAAAGGATGAATCTACCAGTCACAGAGTGTAAACAGATGATAAAATGATTAAAGGGGTGACTCTCACCTTGTGCAGGTACCACCATTGTGACATGGATGATAATCACATATTGGAACATTGCAGTTCTCAACATTCCTCCCTCCAAGTGCCTCATCTATGATGAATAACTCTTTGTTGTTAACTTGAAAATCCCTAATGCATCCTTTATAGCCATGTATCTGTCCAGCACATCGATGAACCTCTTCATGAACAGGAACATTTCCAAGGAAGATTGATCCAAAGGTGATCTGCAGAAACAAGAAAAAATTTATCAGAAAAGAATATTATTTGAGGTATTACTGTAAGCAACCAGTGAACAATAATTAGAGATAAAGGAAATTGCTATTACTTGAAGCTTGCCAAAAGCTATCAAACTTGCTGAAAGGATTAGTTTTTCAAATGTGGTTCTGTGGTTCTCTTAAAAAAAAAATAATAATAAAAAAAGCCATACAAAAGAGTGATTTATTGTATTTACATATCTTCAAATGTGTAAGACAACATGCACATGAATTGGAATTCCCAGCCTTAATCATAATAAACATAGTAAGGATTTCTCATTGCTTCCCTTATTCTGTTCTATGAATTTTACATTCATGGTTGAGTATTTGTGCAGGAATACAGGTCAAGTTTTAGCCCTAAAGACAAAGTTGTTTTTTTTTTTTCAGGATCTGGATCCTATAGGACCCCAAGAAAAGGGGAATACAGAAAAAAGATTGGTTTTTTTGATGAATAACATAAACCAGACCACTATACTGAAGCCCAGGGGGAAAGGGAAAGTTTTAGGTAGCAAATTCTACAGCCACAAATGTCTAGAACTTCAACTTGGTACCAAAAAGCCACCCACAAGTATTTCATACTAGTACTGACTAAACTGTATTTGTGCTCAGCATGATATTTCCTGTGTTACCTGTCACAGAAGTCAAACCTTTCACCATCACATATAAAGGATCTGTGACTTATTTAGCACCGAATTCTACTCCTCAAACCAATGCCTGATTTTCTGGAGCTCTGACATGAGATTTCACCATTCCGAGGTTCCTTTGCTAAATGCCTGTCATGAAGAATTGAAAAGATATATTTTTTTTCCACATGTGTATCACATTGTGGTGCATCTATTTGTACAATACCATTAATCCTGACGGAAGGTGAAACCTAGCCAATCTAAGCCAAGTTGGAATAAGCCAGTAGTATGGAAAATATAACACACTATGTGCAAAGCATGTGATGAGATAATTTATAGAGAAGAGGCTCTTCACCATCATATTCAGACATCAACTGTATAAATCTAGGAAAACATCACATTGTTTTTTTCTGGAGTTTACACATCTGTATGATTTTGCTGTTTCCTATATTGCTTTTATCAGTCTTGGAGCTATGTTGCTGACAATTGTAAGTTTGGAGGTACAATGAACATGAACACCACCAGACAATCCTTTACTTACAAGATCTTTTGTTTCAAAGAGAAAGAAAAATCACTGCTTCTTTTAGAACATGGATAAAATTAAATCAGAGTTTTCATGTGGAAGGAATTCCAAGATAGAGGCTCAGCATTTGTTGAATTCATTTAATATCAGTTTATACCTTTTCAAACAAAACTATGAACAGTCATAGTTATACGCAAGATTTGTAAACAATTTTTGCAGACAGGCATTTTCTCTCTGCTTGTGAACCTGTTACAAAAATGAAGCAAAGCATTGGACTGGAATGTAAAACATCTATAATTAGGAAACATAGTTTTAACTCTCCTCTTGCAATGCAGTATTTCTATTACTTGGCTTATTTTATGAAAGCACTGACCTTGGGGGCAGATCCAGTGCACCACAGAACAACTTCAGTAGCCTTTGTTCAGCTTCTCACATCAATGTATTTTATCATGGTATGTTAGATATGCTAGTACACCATAATACATATTATTTCTCTAAAGGTCCTGTTCTGAATTTAAGTGGAATATATTTTAAGAAAGCACTCATGAATAATGCCTGCAAGTCTTATTAAAAGGTTCAACATAACATTATATTAGCATTATGTTAACTTCTGTAATAGTAATGCTTAACTTTTCAAATATTAATTTGAAATTGTCCTCCTTCACTTGGAGCCTGAGTGGTAAAAAGGATTAGCTTGACCAGTAATGGGAAGAAATTAATTAGTCCTCTTAGTGGTAAGAAATGTCTTCCTTCCTTCCTTCCTTCCTTCCTTCCTTCCTTCCTTCCTTCCTTCCTTCCTTCCTTCCTTCCTTCCTTCCTTCCTTCCTTCCTTCCTTCCTTCCTTCCTTCCTTCCTTCCTTCCTTCCTTCCTTCCTTCCTTCCTTCCTTCCTTTTCCTTCCTTCCTTCCTTCCTTCCTTCCTTCCTTCCTTCCTCTGCTTGTGTACCTCGTAAAGAAAATCAGGGCTCTGAGAGATTAGGAGCAGACCTGTGAAGTGTAGTAGTCATGAACATTCATGCTACATGCCATGGAAGCGGTGATTCTGGACAAACTATAATTTAGTGCCATGAAATACCTATTTGTGGTTACAACATATCAAGTGTATTTATAGAGAGCATCTCTTGTACTATTTTAGCCTAAAAGAATTCAGCTGTCACACTCCAGGACGCTATTCAACATGAACCAAACTGTGGTAAGTGGGAACATTCACTTCAAACCCTCATTTTGTGGTATGAAATGTGGACATACCCCCCAGCCCCAGCCAAATAAAAGAAACAGAGAACAGCTGTCGACTTTCTTAGGAGCCAAGGAAATTTCCTGATTAGGAAAAGAAATATTCTGATGTATGATCTTGGTTCATGACATCAAAGGTAGCTACATGTAAGTTTTTCTACTAGTAAGGTATTGCTGGCTTATCTATGTAATTAGGTACTGATGGGTATGTTCTTTCCTCATATTCTCTATGCAGAAGCTGGCAATAGCGTTAGCTTTATGTTCTGCCAGAGTAAATGAACCTGAAACACAAAGTGAGAGACAAAGCAACCTTCTGCAGCAAAACATCAGATTGATCATCTGGAGTCTAGGAAAAGACAACTGATTGGTCTAATAGCAACATCTAATACAAGTTACTTTACCTCAGACTGAACAAAGACCTAGATACTGACTCACAGAAGAAAGAGGGAAGAAATTCCATTACTAACTAGCAGTGCAATACACTGAGATGTACTTCATGATTAACAGCTCTACAGCTAACTGGCCTGACTTCTAGTGAACAAATTTCCAAAATGAACTGTCAATCACAGTTCATATTCTCAAGTCTGAAAACATTTAAAATGTATCATGCAGAAATAACCTTGTGATGAGAGAATGCATAACAGGAAGAAGTTATGACATGGAGACAAAAAATAACAGAAAAACTCTAGATTTGGGAAAGACGGCATATTGCCCATTTATAATAAGTCTTATGATTCCAATTTCAAAATAGGGACAGTGATGAACTTTATGCAGTTAAAATAAAATTTTGAAAATCAGTTAAATGAAATCAGTTAAAAGCAAATACTGTGGATACTTGATGTGAAAAGAGATACTAAAGAGAACTTAAGTTCTATGATTCTATGATATATGATGATATCTGATGAGGAATTATATTTCTTCCATTAGAAAAAGTTATAATACCTATTCTCCTTTGAAAATAACTAAAGTGCATATGCAGATGAAACGTTCAAAGCAAATAACTGTTTTTTGATATTTTGCAGACTCACCTGAGTTGTTTGATATAAGAGAGAAAGTCTGTGTTGTACAGGAGGATTTCCATCTACAGCCATTTCAATCATACAGTAGCCTTGAGGACTGCTCACAGGCAACATATAACTGGAAGGAAATGGAAAGTATCATTACTACTTACGCTATTGACAGCAGAGTATCCAAACCTCACACAGCAAAAGCAAGGTGAAAAAGAAGTTTCTGCCTCTGTAAAGAATGACAATCTTTGGACACTAATAATTCAAGTTTCATGGCTACTTGGACTACCCAGGAGACAAAATATGCAAGTTTCTTCTAACATCCCTTTTTTATTTGCTTTCCTACTGATTTTGACTCAGGTGTTTGAAATGTATACAAAGAAATCTTTACATATGTAAGTGGGTATTGATAGATTTTAAGTGCTCACTGTGGCTGACATATGTTCTCCCTAGTATAGAAAATGTTGGACGAGTAACAATGCTGAATGATGCTGAAGTCCCTCAATGGAAATTTCCTTTTCCTGCCCTACAGGGGAAACAGAAATAGAATAAGAAATGAAAGGCTGCATGCCTCTGAGCAGCAAGATTACACTGTGATATAGTTACTGCTACTTGGGAAGCATGTTGTTAATGGAAACTCTGGTACTGAGCTTCAGAGATAAAGATGAATATAAGGTTAAGAGAATTTGTAAAGTAAATACTAGAGAGCATTCAATGAAACACTGAGAATTCTTCAGGTTCTTCCTATGATGAGATCCTAAAAAAATGCAATTTATAGTATCAGCAATAAAAATTCAATTGAACAAGATGATTTTTCAAATATACTGGGTTTGTATTTAGAAAGGAAACTTGCATAAACATTATCACAGTGGCAGAATAAGAGAATAGTAGTGAATAGATTCTTTTAAACTGAGCTTTGCTAGTTTTGTAGAAAGCTTCCCAATTACATTTTGCCTCAGTTTTATTTTTCACAACCTTTATAACAGAATGTGATGGACCTCCTTTTAGGAGGCATGCTGAGGTTTACTGACTATATGCACTTTGTACATGAAATCCTATTTGATCAAATCCATATATTTTGGTTTCCAGAGTAAGGCCTTTAACAAGAGCAATGTTAAATTCTTGTGTAACGTTTCACAAATGTTACGCAAAAGATTTTACAAGAGATTCTGAAAAAAACCCAAGCCATATATACAGACTGCCAAATTTTCTTTTTCTTTTTATTTTTTATTTGGGCAAATAGTAAAGGAGGATTGAAGGAAACTTATAAACTATTTTGTGCTGGGATAGATTAAGTTTTATGTTAGGCCATAGACATATGAAAGAGTTAACATTTTTTAAAACCCATTATGTCCTGAACACTGGAAGCATAGATTACTGTTCCTAAAAATGACCTCAGCACAGCCAAAGAGAAATTTGTCTTTGAATAATCCTGAATAAACAACATCAAGACCTACCATGCTCCCGAATGCCTCCCTTTTCATGCACCACACTTTGTTGGTTGTGCACAGCTGCTGTTGTATGATTTATCCCATATGATGCCTTGAGCTTTGTTTTTCTACTATTGTGTCTATGGTCTTACTGTTTCATTTGCTGTCTGTAGATTCAGTATGAAATTTAGTCTCAGTCTGCACCTCCGAGGTTAGTGGGAACATTGTATTGACATGAATGGATATAGTATTGGTCCCCTAATGAATATTTATATCATTCACTGCAGTGCAGTGGTTTCTGAGAGAGTCTTATTTGCGGTATATTTGTATCAGCAGGTGATGCACCCATATTAATAAATCTTACCTTTCCAATGGTTATATTGCTTCTGGTTCCAGAGTAAATTCAGTCAATATTAATTCATTGACTTTTCACTGTGCTCTGCTGCATGGGGTTGAAATGTGTTAAGTTATTCCACCTTTGCGAATATGCAACACTTTTCTGATTTTTGAGCCAGAAAGAACAATGTTTTTAATTTTGTTTTTAAAGAGTGAGCTATTTCAATGGCATATTCTATTATTACCTTTTGAAATGTGATCTAGACCCCTAGATATTCAAATATGCTTGAAAAATGTTAATTTTTCTTTCTTATTTCAGATTAAAAAAAAAAAAGATCATGTTGTTTTAAGTATATTTTAAGTTCCTTCTCATGTAGTCTAAATTTTGCATAACAATCTGCTTTTGAGTGTAAGGAATAAGAAGCAATGTCTGCTGTTCTGAGGATCACCTAATTTTCACAATTCCATTATAAAATGTGAACTGATTAAATAGAAGTTCCTCCTTAAAAATAATGAGTATAATGGAAGATAGTTTTGTGATCGCCTTTTTGGATACTTGAAATAAGGACAATTTTGGAGGAAGTATTTTCAGCTACTATGATTTCCAACCAATTCTTGATATATAAAATATACGTGAATTTTATTTATTATTCCTATTTATATTTCACCTGCTGGGAATTGTCCAGGTAAATCACAGTGTATAAACTTTCTCACATGAAAGAAAATCAGCTCATTTAGGATTTGCAGAGGGAAAAATAACTCATAACCTTTCCTTGATGCTATCTACTCTGAGTGGATACTTTAGTATAGACTTAACATACTCCTGGCAAAGCCTAACCTTTGCCTTGTCCCTGCATTTTAGTAAGGTTTCTGAAGTCCGCATCTCCTGCAATTTCTAAATCAATTTATGGTTTAACACCTTATATCACATATTATAATAGTCTAGCCCACTAAGAGCAAATGTTTAAGTGATGCAGAAAAGTTAGTAAAGAAAAATGTTATCTAATGGAAAAGAAAAGAACAATATGATCTGTGCCAGTTTGATCATTTTCAAGGAATTAGCCATCCAAGCCAAATTCAGCACTGTAAACTTTCACTGCAAATGGCTGGCATTCAGACATTCTCATTGTCTTGTACACATAATTTCTTGTTTTGATTCTGTGCTAGGGGAAAAGAAAAGGTGGAACATTAAAAATAGGTACAATCAAAATAAGCCTTAAATATTTCTTCAGGCTGACATGGTTTTTACTGCAGTATGTTTATGTAGACAAGCCCAAGTACCCTAAATTCATATAGATAATAACACAGTCACCCCTACACAGGCATATCTTGTGATCCATTCTATCTTTAAAGAAATGTGTCAGAAAAAAAAAAAGAAAAAATAATTGCCAAAGATCCCCAGTCCCTATAAACAGCAGTTTCATTACCCAGTGATTATCATCATTAGGTCTCAACTCCACAAAGGAAATAATGCCTTTCTTTTATATTTAAGATATAGCAATGAAATCTTAAATAAAAGAACTGTTTTGTTTGACATCAACAAGTAGATTATAGTGACTAAGTTGTGAGGAAAAAAACCCACAGGCTATAAGCAGCAATGCACTGCCCTGGATATGGAGTGCACATTTGGAATGCTACCTACTTTCTTCAGCATTTGTGCCTTTCTCTGCAAGGATTTCCAAGCAAGTAATACCAGAAATTCCTCTCTGTCTTGTGTCAGAAAGGAAAAACTGTCATTTGAAATGTGAACAGAATGAATATTTTTCATGCTTACAGTACCGCAAAATTAGGACTGTTTGAATTTGCTAGATTACTTGAATATGTTTAGAATAGCTTTTAGAAAGAGGCAGAGCATGGAAAATTACAGCCCAGAAAGACAGTTTTCTGAGAAAATTATGAAAATAATGAAAAATGGCAATTAAACCAGAAATGCTGTCTCTATCTTTAGTATAGCATTTAAACCCATGAAGTGCTACAGTATAGACATATGCAAGACACAATGATACTAGTTTTTTTAAAAAATAGCAGGAAAAAGAATGTACTTGAAATATTCTGTGACAGAAATGACCTGAACTAAAATACCACTTCATGGACCTCTATAACTTGATCATATTTTTCTTATAATCTAAGATTAAATTTGTCATTATCTTGCAACTGGATAAATGCAGTTGTATTATTTCATGCATCTCATAGAAGATTGAAATCCATTATCCACATTAGAAAAGACAAAATGGGACTAATGATTTATTCTCTTGACATTTTTTCTTTATTTTTCTAATTAACCTTATATTATGAGATGCTGACCTCACATTAAGAACACCTGAGCTGTAATTGGCTAATCATTGACGTCTTTAAATTTTGAAGTATTTTTAGTTCAGTTGTACTTTTTCAGTCATTTAGATGCTGAAGGCATTTCAGTCCATCTGCCTCGCATCTCAGTGGTGTATTTCAGTTGCATTCAAAGCCAGTGTATTTTTCCCTCCAGAGACAGCTACAGGAGAGAATGTAATGTGATTCCTACTGCATGATTATTTTTTGTCAGGCACCAAAACTGTGATCCATGCCCATCATACTTATAATGATATAAAAAGGATTTACAGGCCAGTAGAGAAGTGAGTGTGTGGGGAGTAGTTATAGGAAATTAGTGTGGGGTGGGGATCTAATGGAATGTTAGGCACAAAAATCTAAATAGGTCTAGAGCCATGTGGAGCCAAACCTTTTCCTGTAATGTACAGGCCTGATGTAGTGCTTGTTTCCACAATTTGAAATAAGAAGAGGTTCAGCCTTCCTTTATATGCTTGTCTTAGGATAACTTGATTTTTTTTTCATAGCTGCTGTGGATTTTATATAAAGTAGTTAAGAACAAGTATTAACAAAGCATTTTTTACAGGGGCTGTTTCTTTACAAAAGACTCATGGACCTTGACAGATGCAAAACAGAAGTTATAAAGAGTGATTACTCTTTATAACTAGTTGCATCTTGACTAATTATGTGTATGAACACTGAATTTCTATCCAAATGCAATGTTTACTTAACATACTTATACATATGACATATACCAGTGGATATTAAGTATTGGATTAATTTCAGTCTGGAAGTGATATAGAAAGGAATTGTCTTAATCTAGCTAACATTGAGGCATTTCTAAATGAAATGTTACTTGCTATAATCTTGCTCGAGCAAATGTTTTAGCTTAAATTATCACAGCTACTTCACCTGGAAATGTAATCCTATTTTTTTTCTTTCTTTCAAACTAGTCACCAGGTGGCACTCAAGGAGCACAGTAGAAAGAATGAAGACAAAATTCTACTAATGTTTCTTCTAATCATTGGAGAAACTGACTTAAGCCCTAATTGATAGCATG